AGTTAGAAGTGCCTCAGCTTCCAATAATTAGCAGCGTTCTGCGATGATATTGCTGATGCTACAATGCACCCAATTCTGGTTTTTTCATGGTCAGTGGGAAACATTTGTAATGGAGTGGATATTAGGAAATGCCAGTTAACTCGCAGGATTGCGTTGCGTGGCTCAAACTGCATGCACGGTTGTGGATGTAGCGTATGTCAGTATGACTGCTTTTTGACAGCAGTGATTGAGTTTAGGTTAGTTGCAAATGTCTCATGTTCCCAACTACATGGTCTTAGATGGTTAATGATGGGAATGGTAGGAAATTATTTTAAAAATAAATTTAAAACAAATAAAAATAAAAAAGAAACAGAAAAATTGAACAAAATATTTCTCAAAACAATTTTGGGTCATCGGTGCCTTTTATCTGACGTACAAATTTCTTCTCTTTATAAAAGTTTGTGCACATGTTTGTGAGTGTATGTGTGAGTGAATGGTCTAGATACTGAGTTACCAAGATGCAAGTCAGGTTTCTGTTTTTTGTAGATGTAGTTTAATTATCCACTGATCACTTGGCGAGGAGATTTTCTTACAGTGTTACTGCTATTATACAGAGCAGTAAAGCCCATAGAATCAAGAGAGGTAATGATATTGGTTTCCCTGGTATCTTAATTTGAATTTCTCAGTGCAGTCCTTTATTGTGTGATGGAGTCGTCTTACAGCATATTGTGCGTTTACATCTGTAAATCAGATCCTTACCGAAAACATCTTAAATTGAGTTGGATCTCTGGTTTTGCTAGTATTTTATTTAAGAGGAAATAGTATACGTTTCATTCTATCTTTTTAGAAATTCTGTTGTGTAAGTGGCCTTCTGTTTGAGGAATCTTTTTTGTTCACACAGTAAACACATGCTCTTTCATAAATAACACTTATTGCCTAAGAACACTTCTAAAGAAATTTAAAAATTCTTTGATATTAATTTGGGTTGAAATTGTTGGTTGTTTAACAAAGTAAATAGTAAAAAGCATTTGATGGCATTCTTTGAAAACTTAACCTAAAATTAACGGAAACACAAATGTAGTATGGTTTGTATGCTTTCCTTTAATGGGACTGAGACGATAATGCTTTCTGAGTTGGTTCATCTGTAGTATCTGTAGTTTATAAATATAAGTTTTCTGTGGGAATATGGTTTCAAGTGCAAAATGTTACTTGTTTACAGAAATGCAGTGCTGGTTTGAAGAATGAATGTGCCATTTAGCATGTTATAAATTGTTTCTCTGAAGCTGAAAACAGTACTGTGCAGCTAAAGTAACCGTAGCTCCAAAAAGATGTGACATTTTTTAAAATTTATATGCAGGAAAATTGCATTAAGTTTATTTGGGAACCTTCGGTGTCTAAATGTAAGTTTTGTATGTGGTCTTTTCATTTGAGTATTTAAGTACTTCTTCTCTGGGCATTTTTGAAAACAATGACATAGTTATGTCATACATTTTATTTGACAGGAGATCACTGATACGTAAAACGACCCAGACAGGTTATCCGTCTTCTGATACCTCCTACTTTTCATCATAGGTACTGTGTCACAAGATAATATGCCCATATTCTCAGAATATGGCTGCCAAATACAACTTCTCATTCTTTATATCTGTTATAAAAAAAGAACAGCCTAACCTAGCCATTTCCCAGGTCTCCTCCTGATATGACCTCAAGCAGGCTTGTTACTATTATTATTATTATTTTATTGTCTTTTTTTTTTTTTCAAAGGTTTTCTTGCATGTATATATGTACACACATGTGAGAAAAATAATTTAATCATTCAGTCTCCATTTCTGAGAGTGGATTTTCTCAAATGAATACCTCATTTTTAAAAATGGATAGATCATGATGCATTTTATACCAACAACAAAATGTTCTGTCAATTTTTAATTGTAACTGAGTTTACATATACTTTTTATATTTATAGTTTGTAAGTGAATTTGTTCACACCTTGAGATGCAGGTTTCCAGTCCCACATGTGGTTCTCTTGTGAATTAAGTCAAAGATTTAAGTGTGCATTTTGAAACTGGGAGTGGTTACAATTTTTCCTGTTAGACCCATGTCTGTATACTATATAGTATTAAATTTTAAGCTGTAAGTATTTATGTTCTGAACCTTCATATAATAGATTTATATATTGTAGTTTATGTCAGGTAAATTGTTCTGACATTCATTTGAAATGTTTCAATAATGCTAATGTAGTCTTTATGTTCAACATGATAATGAGTTTATTTAATCTTGCCAGGGACTGTATACATATGGACACACCTCAAGCAGATTGACACATTCTTTAAACAGGAATCTATTTTGAATCTCATACATAAAAGGGGTTGGTAGTCCAGAATCATAATTGGTGTTACAGTGTAATTCAATTCCAAGGCTTGGAACAGTGTGTTGATTTACGAAAGTATCGAGGCACTTGAACGGCTTCCTGCAGAAGAGTATATCTTAGGGAAGTAATTCTGAAGATCTTCGGACTGAGGGAGCTAGGTAGCCGACTGGGATACGCCTGATGGTAATCGTCATCGATTGGACTGTTTCTTCATAAAACGGACATAGCGCACCACTCCCATATTTCAAACACTTAGCTCGAAATCCTCCGAATAACTTATTTATTATTTTCACCCCTCCCCTTATTGTGGTGAATTGTTAGCTCTGTTGTGTTCACAAATATTAACTGTTCCTCTTTGCCATTGGCAAGCCAATTCAAATGTATCCATGATTTGTGCTTGAAAGGACATTTCGCTAAACAGGCCCAAGAAATGCTGTCCTTAAAACAAAGATTAAGAATAATAAGTGGAAATAGTACAGTATCTTTTCAAGGAGTGCTTAGATCCAGTCTGAGCACACCTTCAGAGTATGCACATTCTTTGTTGACGAGTGAGTTTTAAGCGTAAGTTTTAAGTTAATTGTTGTAATTTTACTGATATACTAAGCAGACTATTGAAGCTAGACAGTACACATTGTTTGGTGTCATGATACTTTTGACCTAGTCTTTGTTATTATTTACAGAAATATTAAACCATAATACATAATTTTAATAGTTTATCAGAATGCCTGAGGCAGCTGCATGCAACCCTTATGTACTTTGTACATGTGCATGCACAGAACTTTACTAATACAGCCTGTAGGGTTGTATAAAGGAGCAGGAAATTGTCATCAGAGTGTTAAAGAGTTTCAATCAACTCCAAAACTTGCAAGATGTATGAACAACGGACTAAGAATTGATTGCTGTTTCTACATTCACATCAGGATATCCAACCAGTATTCATGGTGAATGATGTCATTATCTGAAGATTTCTGTCTTCTGGGTTATTGCGCGATTCATCGCCCTGATGACGGAGGCAGTATGACCTCTGAAACGTTGGTTAACATCGACCAGACTACACAGCGCAATAACCCAGAAGACAGAAATCTTCATATTCACCGCTGTGAGAACCTCAAGTCTTACATGTCATTATCTATTTTAAGTAGTTTTACTGTTTTCATTTCTTGCTTAAATTTAATATAATAGAGATTTTAAGTGAAACATCACTCCATGAGTTTATAGTTTCAAACTTCAAAATTGTTTACAACACATTGCTCAGTCAGACTGGTATGTTCTCCACAACTTCCTTGAGCGGATTTACAGGAATGGTACTAGTAAACTTCTACTCCACTGCATGGTGCAACAACAAATAAGCCAGCCAACTCCGCAAAATGTTTTGAAATCTTCGTGCCAAGACAGCCTGGTTTTAAAAAATTCCGTTCTTCTGCCAAAAGTTCCTGCATGTACACCAGTTTGCATGGTATAATAATGTTTCCAGGAGCCTGCAAATTCGATGGTCACTGATCCCTTTTTTGTCAGTTTTCAGTGGCGGTAGTTTGTTGTATTTGCGTCCAGTGTTTGATGGATTCCATTTTCAGTCCTACACCACGATTGGACTTTTGACAATAGGATCCCACACCTGACACGACCTGTTCTCTTTTCCCTCTGCGTCAAACTTAAAACTGACAGCATTACTTACCCAAGGCAAAGAAAATCGTGTTGGAAGGTATTCATGCTAAACCTTATGGAGTGATGTTTTAATTAAACTTTATTTCATTAACCCTTAAGTTCAGATGTGCTTGTGAAGGGATGCTGGTACAGAGGTATGGTCCGACAAACCAACAGTAATTTTTCCACTTAAAAATTCCCCGAATATTAACTGATGAGTTTTAATTTTGTAGCGTATGATACATAGAAAGAGACACATAACAGAACAGCTATAAATACAATCCAAATCTGGTTTATTGTTTCTTTATGTAAAAATGTATCGTTCCACATGTTCACTCGGCTTTCTGTGGTCCATGTGGATGTCTTAAAATAAATTGTGATCCTGTTACAAAGTGACTTATGTTAAATGGTTTGGGGAAGAAAGTTGACTTTTATATAATATCGCAGAAAATAGCTTGTTTTGAAACCACGTGCATTTGTCTTATTTTCGTTGCAGTTTTATTAGATATTGACTGTGTTGTCATGCTTTGGAATTTTGCTTGTGCTGCAGCATCTGAATCTGTTTTTACGGTTTTTGAAATTAATTATTTTTCATCTACTGAAGAACTTTCCCCATTGTAACCTTTACTGTTGTCAGCTTCAGATAATTCACAATTTGTGTCATTGTCGCTTATTACAGTGGGTTTATTGCAATTTAGTTTAACATAAAGATCGCTGAAGTCTTTTTCACCGAGGCACTCCTGCTCTTCTTCAGCAATTTTGGTCATTTGCTGA